GAGACTAACCCGGAACTGGAGTTCAGAGCAGTCAGCAGCTTGAGATGCCTCCCGATTGAAAAAGACAACCGTGTCCTCAGTTGCTAGCCCTTTCTACGTGTGCCTCCGTACCTCTGCACTTTACTTCCACACCTCCTCTGAGTCTCAGTGTGCTTTTCTCTTTTCTTCTAGTTGTAGAATTTCCACTCAGCCAGCCTTCCTGTGGTTCTGGATGATGTCCGTTTTGTCTTTTAGTTGTAGTTTTGAAGTGGTTGTGCGAGGCAGCAATTTCAGGTGTTTATATATGCTGCCATCTTGGTTTCTCTTTTCCTCCATTTTTTAATTTTCTCAGTTGGCTGGTGTTGAGATGAAAATTAGTGAACTAGAACATAACTTTGTAGGAAGAAAACAAAACAAAATACCTGGTCAGGTACTTAAACACTTTGCAGTGAATAAAGGCAGGAAAAAGGAGGAAAACATCCAGGAAGTTTCTCACTTAGGAAGCTAGGCAGTTAAAGCAGATGCTGGAGCAAGCTGACTTCATGGGAAAATAATTGCACTGATACTCTTTAGAAAGGGAATGACTGTTATTTAATTTGTTTTATATTATAATACATGCAAACATTTCAAGTTTCATGAAGGACAGCAATAATAAATTTTCAAAGCAGAGAATTTTGGAAAATTAATTGAATGGGAAAGAATTCAAATTGAGAAAACTGTTTATAAGTCAAAATTTTTATTGAAATATGATTGGGTTGCTTGAAATGCAAATAAATTCAATTCACAATACAACAGAAATGACTTGTACCTCAGAATTTAATTTAAAAAGTGATTGAAAACTTTTTTCCATACAAAAGGTACAGCTAATAATACAAACAGTACCTCAGTCCACAGAAGCATATAAAAGTGATAAAGTTCTTCTGCTTACACAATGTAGTGCCCCTGCTGTTTGTCTTAATTGCTTTTTGAAATGTAGACTGAAAGAACTTGAGGGGAACAAAAATATGTTATTTTCTAATGGTTATTTATGTGAAGTATTTTAGATTTCTTAGTCTAAGCACCAGAGTATTGCCTTTCCTTTCACCACTATGAGAAGAAATGGCTCATACAAGATTTCTGCAGAGATTAATGCCTTTAAAAAAACACAAAACCTCTAGTGTTGCCTATTAAAATACTTTATTTTTTACCCCAAGGGAATAATTTTTATATATGGTTGTTAGGTCAAGTTTTAACTTGGAGGTCTTTTCTATTACTTGTTCAGAGTGTATGTTGGAAATTCAGGTTAATATCAGTACAGTATGATGAAATCTAGGAATTTGGGAAAACTAGTAATCCATAGATATGCTCTTTATATTTGAGATTTATGACAGAAATTTTTCTGCTTTTTAAATTTATTATCACAGCCCTTTGAGGGTTTTAAAAAATAATTTTACTGAGGTATAATTGACATATATACTATAAAGTGTACGATTTGGTAAGTTTTGAAATAGTATATTCTAATGAAACCATCATTCTAAAAGGTTTCTTGGTACCCTTTCATAATCCCTCCCTCCCCATACCTCCCAACCCCCTTAGCCAACCATTCATCTTCTTTATTTCATTAAAGACTTGTTTGCATTTTCTGAAGTCTTATATACATGGTATCATTTGTCATGCACTCTTAGTTTTGTCTTTAAAAACAATATTTTTATTGATTTCAGAGAGGAAAGGAGAGGGAGAGAGAGAGAGAGATAGAAACATCAATGATTAAAGAATCATTGATCCGCTGCCTCCCATGCACCTTAGCTTTGAATAGAATATATCTTTAACTTACCTACCCTCTAGTGATATTAGACCACTCCTGTATGGTATAGGAACTTTATAATAGTTTGTTTATATTTCTCTTCTCCTGTCCTTTCTGTTACTGTTGTCATACATTTTATTTCATAACCCCCTCATATATAATTACTTTTGTTTAAATAGTTATCTTAAGGAGATTTAAATAAGAAGAAGAAAAGTATTAAATATCTACTCTTATAGTCATGATTTCTGTTGTTCTTCCTTCCGTTGAGCTGATCCACATTTTAGTCTGGTTGTTCTTCCTTCCGTTGAGCTGATCCACATTTTAGTCTGGTATAGTTTTTCTTCTGCCTGTGGCTTCTCTTTAACATTCTTTCAGCTTGTTATTTCTGAAAAAGTCTTTATTTCACTTTTGTTTTTGAAAGTTATTTTCACTTGACATAGAATTCTAGGTTGACAGTTTAAAGTACTTTAAAGACGTTGTTGCTGTCTTACTTACATTGTTCCTGATGGGAAATCTGTTGTCATACGTACCTTTTTAAAAAATATATATTTTTATTGATTTTTATAAAGAGGAAGGGAGAGGGCTAGAGAGTTAGAAACATCGATAAGAGAGAAACATCGATCAGCTGCCTCCTGCACACCCCCTACTGGTGATGTGCCCACAACAAGGTACATGCCCTTGACAGGAATCGAACCTGGGACCCTTCAGTCCGCAGGCCGACACTCTATTTACTGAGCCAAATTGGTTAGGGCCGCACCTTTGTTTTTATGTGCCTAAATTTGTCTGTTTTTTCCCCCCTCTATGCCTGCTTTCAAAATGTTCTTTGTCACTAGTTTTGAGCAATTTGACGTAGCTTTTTTTTTTTTTTTTTTGATACTTGGGATACCTTGAGCTTCTTAGATATGTAAGTTTTTTTTTAATTTTTAACAAATTTGGAAAGTTTTGGCTATTGTTTCTCCTGTCTCCCATTCCTTTCTTTCAGGACATTAATGACATGGATATTAGGGCATTTAAGATTATCCCACAGCTCTCTGATGCTGTTTTCATTTTTAAATAGTTTATTTCCTGTATGTGTTTCTAATGTTCAGGTGTACTAATTTTTTAAAAAAAATGTATTTTTTAATTTATTTTTTACAGAGAGGAAGGGAGAGGGATAGAGAGTTAGAAACATCAATGAGAGAGAAACATCGATCAGCTGCCTTCTGCACATCCCCCACTGCGGATGTGTCCGCAGTCAAGGTACATGCCCTTGTACCTGGGATCAAACCTGGGACCTTGAATCAAACCTGGGACCTTTCAGTCCTCAGGCTGACGCTGTATCGACTGAGCCAAACCGGTTGGGGCAGGTGGGCAGGTTTACTAATTTTTTCTTTTTCAGTCTAATGTTCCATTAATCTTATCCAGGGTATTTTTTAAAAATCTCAGACATTGTAATATTTATCCATAGAAATTCAGTTTAATCTATTTTACATCTTAGTTGTTTCCAACATTTTGAACATATGGAATAGTTATAACTTTAGTGCCCTTGTTTGCTGTTTCTTCCATCTGTGTCGGTTCTTGGTTGATTTTGATTGATAGCTTTTTCTACTAATGATGAGTCTAATTTTCTGTCTTTGTGTACCTGGTAATTTTGATTGGATACTAGATATTATGAATTTTGTTTTGTTGAGTGCTGATTATACTTGCATTTCTGTAAACATTGTTGGGCTTTGTTTGGTGACATGGTGAAGTTCATTGGAAACAGTTTGATCTGTTGGTTCTTGCTCTAACATTTGTGAGGTGAGCCCGGGGCAGCATATTCTAGGGCTTATTTTCCACTAATGAAGCAAAACCCTTCTCTTAATACTCTACCCTGTGCTTTCTGAATTGTGAGTTTTTCCTAATCTGGCTAGAGCGACCAGGCATGCTTCCTCTAACCCTTCTGGATGATTCTTTTCTTGGCTGTGGGTAGCTTCTTGCTGAATACTTCAGGGGAACTCCCTGCAGCTCTCTCTTCTTTAGCTGTTTGGGAGCTCTTGGACTCGCAGCTATGTCTCCTTCACTGAGGAGTTAGACTCTTCCTGGGCTTCCCCTTCCTGCATTGTAGTTCAAATCTTTCTTAAGGTAGCAAGTCCGGGCAACTGTATGTGTAAGGAATCTGACATTGGCTTGAAATTTCTCTTTCTTCTGTGAAGCTTCCTTACTATAATTTCATACATAATATTATTTGTAAATTAGTTTAAGTTGTGTGACTAATTCTGGGTTGACTTTGCAAAAGAGCACATTATCATTGTTTTTATTCTTTCAATGCAGTTAAATATGTCATTTCCTTGGGTTATAAATAATACCACATTGAATGAAAAGTTTCTTCAGATGTGTAGAATTATGGCCTGATTCTAGTGTTTTTATTAATTTTTATTTGTTTCCTTATTTTAGAATGAGTATGGGAATAATAAATAATGAATAGTTGACTTCTATATTATTTTACCTCATTGTTAGTGGGGCTTCGTTATTTTTATAACTGCCATAGGCTATCATGGCAATGTAACACAGAACCTTAAACCAGCGGTCGTCAACTTTCAGACCTCACGGACCACCAGTGGCCCACGGGCCACCTGTTGGCGACCACTGCCTTAAATTATTAATCTATGGTGTGACATTGATATATATATATATCTGTACATTATGATCTATTTGTTGAAACTTTGGTGAGGTGTAACATTTGAGTGTTGATGCTGTTATTTGCAGTGTACCTATATGTCATATGCTGTTCATCTGCCTTGTTCAAACAGAAGTCGCCCTGAGGATGAGTCCATCCACATCCTGAGTGTTGATGAGAAGAACAAGTTGGGAGCCAAGATTATCAAGGCAGAGATGATGGGAAATATGGTAAGACTTATATGTGGTTCTTTTGGAGAACAGTAATTAAATATTTAACTCCTGATGAGTAATTTTTATATGTTGTTCTTTTGGAGAGTAGTAATTAAATATTTAACTTCTGATGAGTAAGTTTGGAATTTTCCTTAGCAATGTGGACATAGCACATTTTGAGGATAACTGCTGCTTATTGATTCTTTAAAGCAATTGAACACTTCTAAAAACAGTACTGTTTGTCTACTTCTAAATAAATTACCTACTTTTCTCTGTCAGATTTCTGAAATTTAAGATCTTATGGAACTAATGCTTTTTAATTTCTTTTCTATTTTGCTATGTACTTTATTCTTGCATTTCTAACTTACTGAGCTCAGATATCAGGGGGATAAAGATATCACTGACTTTTCCCTCTTTTTTAGTCATGCATTGTTAAGGACATGTATTACTTACAGTTTTTACATACGAACCTAAAATATGAATGCTTCAAGAGGATGGTTAATTAATTTATTCAAATTTTAAGGCAATGTGTTTATGCCTAATAGTGTTTTAGTTACTCTGTATAGGTTAGCTTATTTAACTCCTGTAGTAATGTTGTGATTTAAGACTCTTTTACCTCAAAATGGAATAGAAATAGGGATGATTTGGTAAGAGCTACATCCATCTATCTATCTATCTATCTATCTATCTATCTATCATCTATCTATCTATCTATTATATTGCCACATTTCTGTTATACTAATACATGTTATATTGCACATGGCAGATTAGCAAAGTTGGACTTTTATGTCTTGACAGAATAGATTCATGGTCATATGTATATACTCATCTCAAACGCAAATATAAATAGTCTCTGTGTTTATGTATTTCCTTCATATTCTTGTGTTCCCTAAAATATGTCCTCGGTATTCTATCAGTTTAGCACTCTGTAGTAGAACTAAAGGTGGCCAAACAAGACACATATTTTTATTCAGTTGTATGTCTGATAAAAGGTATATCTTATGTATGCTGCTCTCCCACTTTGAATCTGGTCCTTGGTAACACTGAACTTCAACTCAGAACTTTATCAGAAATTGGAAAAAGACAAACCAACAATGACAATAGCAAAAAAATAAAGTTTGAGTTCTGAAAGCACAAAGAATCAGTTAAAATAATGAAGGAGAGGTCACCAAGTTAGGAGGTTAACATGTTAAAGGAATTGTTCCGTTGTTTATGGAACCACTGCAACAGTGCTATTTTTTGCTTGTCATATAAATTTGTTTATTTCTTTGTAATTTATTGTTTTATATGTTGGCTATCTACATATATAAAAGCCTAAGCAACTGTTATGCCCAAATGACCAGAATGACAGTTGCTATGATGTGCACTGACCACCAGGGGGCAGATGCTCAGTGCAGGAGCTGCCCCCTGGTGGTCATTACGCTCCCACAGCCAACCTCCTGTGGCTCCTCCCCCTGGCCATCTGCCCCCCCCAGCCAACCTCCTGCGACCTCTCTCCCTGGCTGGCCACCCTCCTGTGACTTTATCAGAAATGGGAAAATTTTCTACCCCTAGCCAGCTGGCTCCCCCATTGGCCCTGATCGGGAAGGCTGGCCGGCTAACCTCCCAAAGCCCCTCCCCCTGGCCAGCCAACCTCTCATGGTCCCTCCCCCCGTGGCGGCCGGTCCCCCCATAGGCCCTGATCCAAGGGGCCAGCTGGCCAACCTCCTGGGGCTCCTCTCCCCAGCCAGCCGGCCCCCCTATAGGGCTTGATTGCTGGCCAGGCCAAGGGACTCCACCCATGCATGAATTCGTGCACTGGGCTTCTAGTTTTATATACATTTCTATATACTTTCTAGAGTAAAAATGAAATATATTCAGAGTTTTTATCTAAATTACTTATCAACAATAAAGAAGGTAATATTTTAAGTCTTGTGATGTCTCCCTTCTTACAGATAGCTGAGAGTTTGAGGATTGGAAGTTGATAATTATAAGAAACTATAAAATGTCATTCTTAAAGTTATGTATTTCCTTTATCTTCTGATCTTCCTTAAAATATATGTCCTTGTAATTTTTTATTTTCAATGTATAAATGCTGCAGGTATTTGAGAAGTTTGTCATGGAGATTGATTTGTTTACAAGTAATGTACTGGGCTCTGGTTTGGTAACTGTGTTTTTGTTGGTGGCTACATGGCTGTTTACTATGCTGTTTTCTTTCTATTGTATACATTTGAAATATGACACAAGGAGGGATTTAACTATTTACACGTATTTTTCTTGTTTTTCTGTCTGAAGGAATTAGCTGAGCAACTTAAAGCCCAACTTGAAAAAGCAAATAAATTCAAAGAAACTGTATCATCAAAAAAATCTGGGATAGAGGTAAGTATTAAAAGTTAGGTTTGTAGGTATATGATTACCTTGTATAATACTACTCGGCAGTGGTAATATTAAATGTATTTAACTCTGTCTGTGTTTCGTGTGTGTGTGTGTGCGCGCGCTTGCGCGTGTGTATACGTATGCGTGTTTGCTTGTTTTTAAAATTTATTTTCATATGAGTTGCCTTACATTCTACTAGTGTGCCTGATGGACAAAAGGCTAGGCCAAGGAGACCTGGTTTTATGGTGGACTCTGTCATTTACTGACTGTTTGATTTTGTGCAAGTCAGACTGGTTTTTAAATTCTTCCCTTACAGAATGAGAGACATGAGTTTGGTGTCCATTTTATGTAAAACAAATTATTTTGTTCCATGATTCATTTGTCCATCTATTAGTGAACTAAACAATTAAAAACACCTGCCTGCATGGAGTTTCATGTGGGAAGTGATAGAGACAGTAAACAATAAAAATAATAAATTAGCATATAAAAAGTTATACATCCCAGGGAAAAGTGGGGGATCTTGAGTACCTGGTGTGCTGGTAGCTTGGGGTATACAGAAAAAGTTCATTTGAAAAGTGACATCCATGCAGAGATGTAAGTGAAGCAGAGAATCTCTTTGTCTGAGTGCAGAGCATTTTGGGCATAAGGAATTTTTAAAGGTCCAAAGATGGTGACGTGTCCGATGTGTAGGAAGAACAGCATGGAGACCAGTGTTGTTGGAGTTGAATGAATGAGAGTGAAGTAGGAGATCTAAATCAGAGAGACTATTGGAGGCCAGTTCATGTTAAACTTGAAAGTCAGAGTAAGTAAATGGCCTTTTATTCTAGGTGAAATAAAAGCGATTAAGGGTTTTGAGCAAATAATATATTTTGACAGCACCAACCTGGCTTCTTTGTTAAAAATAAATTGAAGGAGAATAAGGGCAGAAATTAGAGTCTAGTTCGCTTTTGCAATAATACACATAAGAAATTATACTGTCTTTGACCAAGATAGTAGCTGAGAAGATTGCTAGAAGTGATAAGATTTTTGCATATGCATAAATGTTTTCTATAAATATTTTGAAAGGAGAGCTGACAGATTTATGATGGTTTTGATGGTTTTGGGGGAGTATGAGATAGTGTGTGATCTTACTCATCTTTTTAGACACATGTATGCCTTTGGATTATATAATATAAAAATAATTCTGAATGTTATGGATTCATTGACTAAATAGAATGAAATGAATATTAAAAAATGAAAAGTCTGGTGTTTTTTATTTGCTATTTATAGCAGTTATGGAAAAATCTTTTTAGATTGCTCACAGCTTCATTATTAAAGCCAGATAATCTCCAAAATATATTAAATTATCCATTAAAATTTAGATTTTTTTGTCGGGTCCTTAATAAGATCCTCAAGCATTCTCAGTTAAAAGGTGGGCTAATTTTTGTGTGTGTGTGTGTGTGTGTGAAAGATATTTTCCATAATTAAAAATCAGTTCACCAGTGAAAGAAGCATTATCAACTTACTTTTTCCTTTCAAAAAGTGACAGTGTTTGGTAATTTTTTACTAATTCATTTTATTAGAGACATGGAGTAATAGAAGGAGCATATAATGGAAAGAGTATAAGGATAGAAATTGCATGCATTTTTAAAGCCAAAGATCTAGAATTGGGCCTGGAGCTTTGTCACTTTTTGTATGTGATCCTTAGTATCCTCATTAGTAAAATGTGGCTTAATAATACCTCTGTTACAGGGTTGTTAAAATTAAATGAAGTATGTTTTAGAACTTTATACAATTATATCAATATTAACTTTAATCAGGAAAAATTATCTTGGTTTGTTTTTGATTAGGAAAAGTATAAGGCAGTTTTTAGATTTTACTGCTATTGTATGAAGTCTATAACATTTGCTGTTCTTAAATTTATATATTTTTTATCTGTCAAAATAACTAATTTTTTTCACATCTGAATGAATTCTATTATTTATTTTAAAAAATATATTTTAATTTCAGAGAGGAAGGAAGAGGGAGGAGATAGAAACATCAATAATGAGAGAGAATCATTGGTTGGCTGCCTCCTGCAAGCTCCTCACTGGGGATTGAGCCCGCAACCTGGGCATGTGCCCTTAATGGGAATTGAACCTGGGACCCTTTAGTCTGGAGGTTGACACTCTATCCATTGAGCCAAACCGGCTAGGGTGAATTCTATTATTTTAATGTAAGAAAATTCTAAAATGTTAATCAACATTTAAAAAAATTTTAAACCTTCTCCTTGCCTCCGTCCACCCCCATCCTGGCAAATGCAGAAAAGAACCTGGTTAGAAATATAATTTAAATTTATATTCTCATAGGTAGCTTCTATGTAAAGATTACAAAGAAGCATTGATGTGAGAAGAAAGAAGATTGAAGAACTGAATTGATTTTTCATATTATGCTAGAGCCAGATATTCTACTGGCTCTAGAAAATATCTGTTTCACAAAATTAAAATCTTTAGTGGCCCTGAATAATCCACTTTTAAAATTGTGAAATAACTATTGTCTAGCCTTAAATATTACTCATAATTTTTAATAATGATCTTTACATGAATATTTAATTTTTTCAAGCTTGTACATGTTTCATATCCTGTCAGCAACTTTTTGAGAGAGAGGTTAGGCAGGTTAGTATATGCCAATTTGACAAGAAGTAAAACTGAGGCTAAAATGAATGTGTTCCTTTATTTTAATTCTAGAGCATGCTGTAGAAGAATTTCAGGATTAATAAGATGACTTGAGCAACTTAAAAGATGTGGTTATGAAATATATTATCAGTTTGCTTGGTGGTCTCTATAACCTAAAGAATTTGAAAAATTATTGAGCAGCATTTCTGAGTTTATGAGTAGGGTAGGTACATTAATGCTTTGAGGCCTTCACTCTATGAAAACATAGCAATCACAGCCAAAATATAAAATGGACAATTTGGAAGAGATATAACATGGCTCAAAAATAAAGATACACTTCTCTGTGCATAGGAAACTGAACAGAAACATAAAACAATAGGGACTGGAGCTTGCAGGGATCCAACTTCAGAGCTAGGCAGCGTGGCTGAGAATTGAGCTCATCTGATGTGATAGAGCTTAAAAGATCCCCTCACATGGCATCTCTACCTGCACCAGGTTTCAGGGTTCCTGTCAATGAGTCTGGGAAACTCTTTGAATACTTAAGTCGGTAGCTCATAGGAAATTGTTTTAAGATGGGAAGTATAGCCGAAACCGGCTTGGCTCAGTGGAGGGAACATCGGCCTGCGGACTGAAGGGTCCCAGGTTCGATTCCGGTCAGGGGCATGTACCTGGGTTGCGGGCACATTCCCAGTGGGGGATGTGCAGGAGGCAGCTGATCGATGTTTCTCTCTCATCGATGTTTCTAACTCTCTGTCCCTCTCCCTTCCTCTCTGTAAAAAATCAATAAAATATATTTTAAAAAAAAAGATGGGAAGTATAAAGTGGACATAACCTTGCAGCCATGTGAAATATCCCCAATATCAGTGTGAAATATTGTAAGAACTGGGAATCCTGATAGGCTGAGTAGAGACAGTGTCAAAATTACCAGGTAGCGAGAGGTAAGAGTAGACAGAGACAGAAAGGAAGGGAAAACTCCCACGAGATAAGCTTTGCATACCAGCATACCAGAAAACATTAGTTTTCCCTTAGAAAGATAGTAAAAAAATAATTGGGATATAAACACTCATTGCCAGTAAGTTTGAAAATGGTAGCACAATCTTAAAATAGTTTTCAAATTAATTATGTTTAGTAGCTTCAGTTATGAGAACATAATCATAAAAGGAATAAGATATTATGAAATAAAAGCAAGCAAAAGTAAAACAAGAATAATGGATATGAAGTGAATATTCTACAGATTTTAGGGATGTGATGGGATAAATCCTTGGCAGGACTTAGTCAAAGAAAGAAAGAAAGAATTAATTAAATGAAAGGGGACTAAAAATTAGAGCTAATATTTATCACTTACTTTTATACCTAGGCATTGTTCTAAATACTTGCCTGGTATTAGTTTATTTGATCCTGAAAACACCTTATTATTATGTTTACTTTACAGATGAAGAAATTGAGGGATTGAATAACTTACAAGGTTATAGAATGAAGCAGGATTGGGACATGGGCGTTCTGCCTCTAGAGTGCTCACGAGCATACTGTGCTACCTGTGGTGTTAGCCAATAACACAGAAGAGAAAAGAGAAAATATTTCAAAGAGTAGATATGAGATATGATGGATAGATAAAAGCTGAAATAACTGAGAGAGAAAACCAAAAATAAGTGGAAGCGATAGAAAAAACAAACAGCCACAATGAAGAAGTTTTTTGTTGTTCTTTTAAAATCCTAATAAAATAGCTAAGCCTCTAAGACTGAACAGCGGAGGGATAGGGGGAAGCGAGGAGTGGAAATAGAAGACAAAAAATGAACAGTATTAAGAATTGAGAAGAGGAGATATAACTAAAGCTGCTATGAGCCTTCTGATGCCTTTATGTGATTAAGGTGCCACCTTTGAGCAGATATCTTGGTGTAAATAAAAAAAAAAAATAGCCTTGAATCAGGATATATATTTCATGTACCTTGTTGTTCAGTCAGCTCACTGCCCTGGCTGGCCATTTTTGTACATAGTGAACACCCTTCTCTCTGTGGACATAACTAGATATTCAGTAGAGACTGTTAAAAAATTATGAAAATACTAAGAACAATATTTACTGCTTATTTCTTGAAATTTTAAAAGATGAAAAATGGAAACAAATGCCATATGGCTTCAATGATGACAAATTTGCAGAATACCAACTGGAGGGAAAATCTGATCTAGTGGAAGACTCTTACTTCCAAAGTGCTAGAAACTGGAAAAGGCTTTCAAATAAACATTCAGAATTTTTGATACCAGTTTTGAATCAAAATAATTTAGGCTTTCCCCTTTCTTTTTCTTTTTAATCAATGTGTTAATGGAAATAGTGCTCACAGGCCTGTATCAGAGTAGCAATGGCTAGAGCTATTTCCAGACTTTATCCGATCCTAGAGACAGCCACTACTACCGTATTTGCCGGCGTATAAGACGACTGGGTGTATAAGACGACCCCCTAACATTTCCACTCAGAATACAGAGTTTGTTATATACTCGCCGTATAAGACTACCCCCTCTTCCGCACACCTTCCACACACCAAATAAAAGGTAAAACAATATCAGATGTGGAATGAAGTGGGCGGGCATCGGGAGGCCACTATGGCACGGGGCAAGCACTATGGGCAGTCTATCTGAAGTGTACCTGGCGTATAAGACGACCCCCCACTTGGAGGCATATTTTTCAGGGCCAAAAAATCGTCTTATACGCCGGCAAATACGGTAGTTGTTAACTGTTTCTTCTGGCTTTTATGTCTTTATTTCTAAGCAAAGTTATTTCTTGAGTCTATAATAGACACTGCTAAGCCAAATTATATTATGATTGCCTTTATCTAAAAAAAATTTTGTTCTTAATTGGCATTAATATTTTCTTTGTTTGGTTTGCTTTTTTTTTTGGCCTGATTGTTGATCCTGATACAGATTCCTAAATAACCCCCCATATTGTGCATTGACGTAGTAGCAAATATAGGACTTGCTCATTGTTTCTAGTCCTCTTAATGTCTTGGGTATCCAAAGTGGGAGAATTTCGTGTCCATTGTATTAGCATGCCTAAGGAGCAGAAAGTGGAAGATGAGGAAAGTTGAAGGGACCAGCAATCTATCTGAGGCAGATAATTCCAATTCTCAAGCATTTGTTGACACCCAACTGTGCCAGGTGCTGCAGATAACCAGGTAGTATATTGTTTGGTCTTTGGCCTAGAAGAGTTGCAGAGACATATCATTGTGAACAGATAATTAATTACTTAAAAGACTTACGTTCTAGCAATATAAGTATGCCTAAACTTATTTAAGAAGTAAAAAGTACAATAAATTAACAAAAAGTATGAAGAACTAAAGAAAAAGTGAATTTGAAGAGGGTTTTAGTATTTGAATTTGAAGGTCCAGGAGACTTAAGATAATCCATAATATTATGTGAAAACTAGAATTATTCTTATACTTTTATATCCTTGTTATTAAATATAAGCATTCAACACTCTGTGCAATAATTTTGAAAGTTATCTCTAAATCTTCCCATAGAATGAAGACCAGCAAGAAGTGATTCTTGTCAGAACAGATCAGTCTGGTAGAGTTTGGCCTGTGAACACACCAGAAAAACCTCTGGAATCTAAAGGAGGAAGAAGGAAGAGACAGATGGTATGTTTCAGATATTTTTTAAAATTCAGAATTTCTTTTTTCCCCTTGGGGTTTTCTTTGCATCAGACTACATACTTCAAAATACTTTATGAAAGGTTGTTGTATAATGCAAATATTAGAAAGCAATAAATTATGTTATTACTCTTATTCTTACTTAAATCCTCTTGCCTTTTATAAAATGGAATCTAATTCAACTACAGTTTTCAAATAACTGGTGAACATTGACTGTTTAAGGCAATTTTAACTTGAGTGTACATTTCTTTGACATTGTTTTTAGCTTCTTTTTATATTCTTACTATTGCTTTTACTAGTAGGGGAAACCTTAGTCTCTCAGACCTGTTATTTGTATTAGATAATTTGAGACCTAGTGGTGGGATATCCATGTCTTAATTATGTAGTTGCTGTGATCCTTTATAAACCTAATTTTCTTTTCCATCTTTCACCTCTAGCTATTAGTTTTTAGCACTACATTGACGCGCTTGAGATGACAAAAGCAATGTATCTAGTTTTCCCAAACTAGGTTTTTTGTTTTAGATTTGTAATATCAGACAAGTGGTGATTTGGTCCACAGAAGATTAGTTCATTCAGAATTTTTCTGTCAGGTGTTTATTATTTGCTTGTTGAGTGCCTTTGCTGCTAGAGGTAGTAATGGATTCATTCAACAAATAGGCCTGGAATAGATAGCTCTTCTAATTAAGTGTGAGGTTTAGCGGTTTGAAGGGGTATGTGGCCGGAGAATAGTCAAGGTTTGAATTATATTGAAATGACAGGACTGGGTAAGGGTTTCCAGATGCATTGCCAGATAGCATCAAGGACTCTTTTTTTTTTTAGTATATTTTTATTGATTTTTCACAGAGAGGAAGGCAGAGTGATAGAGAGTTAGAAACATCAATCAGCTGCCTCCTGCACACTCCCTACTGGGTATGTGCCTGCAACCATGCCCTTGACCAGAATCGAACCTGGGACCCTTGAGTCCTCAGGCCGACGCTCTGTCCATTGAGCTAAACCGGTTAGGGCTCAAGGGCTCTTTTTGAGTTGCCTGCTACCAGGCAATCTAGGTATAGGAATAAAGAGGGTAGACATACTCATTCAGGACTGAGGTTTGCTTTTGGGTATAATGAAAGGATATCAGAGCCAGAAATTAAGGATTTGGAGCTAGAGAGTGACTGAAGTCCTGGATATGAGATTTAAGCTGGTGACGACAGGAGTAGTTGGGAAAAAATATTGGGCATGTGGTTTCAAGATTTCAAAGAAGTTAAAGAGCAGGTTTTATTTGTATAAGGGAATGTGAAACTAGTATTGGAGAGGGGGATTGATTTTGGAGGAAATGAATAGCACTTTTATTTTTCACATGTAGGTATAGAAACAACTGATAGGAAAAACTCGGGATTGATTTAGATAAGAATCAGAATACCAGCTTGTTTCTGATAGAGCTGTTTGCAGTGGGTTTGCTAATACTCATCTCTATTTTAAATATGCTTGCTTGCAATCTGGATTACTGCAGACTTCCCTCCACAGGGGTAGGGAGTTGCTACTACAGGGGGGAGAAGAGCAGAGAGGAGAGAAGGGATAAAAACAATTCTGCCTTTTCCCCCAAACTCAGAAATCAGAGAATGTCATGCCTCCATTCCTGGGAAGGAGGAAAGGAAAGGGGCAGAAAGTAGGGATTATTTTTCTAATGGGAATTCTTCCACGTGGAGGCAAATAAACTAGGGATTAAATGGAAGGAAAGATTGTGACACATAGTGGGATTTGTACATTTAATATCAGATTTATAGGTTCATTCATTAAAATGCTTGAGAAATTCATGTTTTCACTAAGTTAATAATGTTCATTTTGCCATAGGCTTCAACCCATGAGGAAAAAGAAAGGGTCAGATACTTTCATGATGATGATAATTTAAGTCTAAACGATTTAGTCAAGAATGAGAAGATGGGAACAGCAGAAAATCAGAACAGACTTTTTATGAGAATGGCATCTAAGGTAAGCTATATTCCTAGGATACCTTTGAATTTTGAGAAGCTGGTTACTCAGTAATGATCTACATTTTAGGCAGAGCTGGTTCTTTCTAATCTTGATTTATTTTATTACATTAAAACCTGTGTAAGACATATTAGGGATATGCATTTTGGAATTGATTTGATTGGGAAATATATATTTAGGATTTAGTTTGTTTTTAATTAATAAACTCTGATTTAATCTTTAAATATATTCCCTAAAACTTTTAATTATATATTTGATCTACCATTTTAAGGGAAAGTTTTGGGCCATAATTTTATGTTGATAGTGTGCAGCTAGCCTGTTTTATCTTAATGTTCCTCCAATTCTTCATAATTATGCCAGAGGAGTATATTTGGTGTAATATATCATAGATTATAGAGAAGACATCTTGGAATAATTTTGTCTATTTATAAGAAAATTTTACATTTACATGAAAATGTATATTAAAACCTAATTATGGGTAGTAGGATAAATTTTTGTTTCAAATAGTGTTTTTTTGTTGCAATTTCTTTTATAATTCTTACCAAACACTACCATTAAAATTCTCATATAAAAGAGAAGCATAACCCTGGCTGGGTTGCTCAATTGGTTGGAGCACCATCCCATACACCAAAACATTTCTGGTTCGATTTACGGCCAAGGTGCATACTTACGTTGTGGGTTTGCTCCCCATGTCGGGGTGGGTGAGGGAGGAAACCATTGGTGTTTTTCTATCACATCGATATTTTCTTTTTATTTTCCCCTCTCTTAAAAAATTTTTTAGTAAAAGCATATCCTCTGGTGAGGGTTAAAAAATAAAGAGAGAAATATTTAAACTTAGCGCTATAACAAGGTTTGACCCCACTGGAAAAATTCAGTTCACTGCCTGTATTTGCAAATAAAGTTTTATTGTAACACAACTGTGCACATTTGTTTACATGTAGTCTATGTTTGTTTACACTCTATAATGGCCAGATTGAATAGCTGTGGTAGAGACTTTAATAGCCAACAAAGCTGATAGTATTTACTATCTGGTCCTTTACAGAAAAAATTTGCTCATGCCTGCTTTATGATACCTGTGCTTACTATGTGATGGTAGAAGTTTGAACTAGGTATTTAAAGGGCATGAGGGGGACTTTGTACTGTACCTTTTCAGACTTAAAAAACAAAAAAAAAAAGTGATTGAACATATTACCTGGTGAAAAAAAGTAACTTAATGAAAACTAGAATGGAGGTAACCAAGGTATCTGAGTGTGTATGTGTCTGTGGCGGGGAGTAAAACAAACTTGGGTTTAAATAGAAATGGTCATTCTTCCCATTACATGAGGATCATTTTCTCTCTATTTTGGAGAAAGTACTAGAAATTGTATAGGGTCTGGAAATTCAATGTGTGAAGAAAGATATCATAAAACTAAAGAATATTCAGTTCTAGAAAGGGACTTGACTAATCTTGCTAACCTTTCACATTTTTCTGATGGTGAAAGTAAGGCTCTGAGATAATGAAATAGCCTATGCAAGGCTAAGTGACTTTTCCAAGTTCCCATAACTAATGATTTGCAAAAGCTGGCACCGTAAGCCTCAACTATTAACTCCAAGGTCAGCTTTTTTTCATTAAACAGCACTGCCTTTCAGATGACTCAGGCTAATGGATGGTTGTTGATTGTTGCCTAAATTTAATTGTTTTTGTATAATTTCCATGTGTCATTTGTTGGTATTTGGGAATAAGTGGTATGTGCTTTGCTTTTTCTTAAAATACATCTACTGACTCCAACATTCTTTAAATATAAACTCTTCCATTTAAAATCTAAGACGTCAGTGTTCCCTTGGCAACGTAAACTTGGGCACATCTTTGTGAGATCTATATACATCTTTCCTCATTAATTTTGTTAGCACCGTGGGCAGTAATTTTATACTTTTTGTTCTGATAGTGTGGTAAAAATGGACTGGAGGGGAAGGAAAATGGAAGGTACAAGAAAAGGAAGAGAAAGACTTAAAGTAATTAGGGTTTTATCTTGAATTGTAAGAAAACCAGATTTTATTTTCTAATAAAAGATGCTTCTATTTCTATTGATAGTTTTATTTTTCTGAATTTGTGTCATTCAAGGCTTGATATATTTTCTTATGGAAGTAGTCTTTAAAATTTACAAGTACATATTTTCATAAAGAACCTAAATCCTTTATTTTTTTATTTTCAATTAACTGAAATATTAATAACAAATCTTGAGATTAAGTGACACACCTTTCTTGAAAGCATGATTATACAAAGGTAAGGAATATCAAAATTGCCAACTTCTTTCGTTGCTTCAGTTCTCTTATAACCATTCTATTCTCAGAATTTGAGGGGCTGGAATTAGAAGGACAGTTTCAGTTTTGGTAAAAATTTGATTAAAAAATTATCATAAAAGTTGAAATACTTTTATAAGAATTAGACTACAATCTCTATTTCATTGTTGGCAATCTTTGTGTAATAATGCAATATTCCTTAAGTAGATTTATTACAAATTAATTGTTTCTGCATAATGCTAAAAAAGCTTTCAATTTTCATATAATTTCAAAAAAATATGTTTTGATTTTTAGGGAGAGAGGAAGGGAGAGAGATAGAAAGGGAGAAACATCATCACTTAGCTGCCTCCTGCACGCCCCCTTTTGGGGATTGAGCCCATAACCAAGACATGTGCTCTGACTGGGAATCATACCTTGATCTCTTGGTTCCTGGATCAACACTCAACCACTGAGCCACACTGGCTGGGCTAATTTTTCTTAGTATCATATTATCCTATCTAATAAAAGAGAAACATGC